ACTTGGGTGACAAGAGGAATGAGTTCGTTCCTTAAGTTACATGAATAATGTTTCATTCTCTTCCCTCTACGTTTATAAAAGTCAAAGGGAACATATGTACAGTTGTGGTATACCATTGACAGAACTCAAGGGACACAAATAATTACTTAGTACGGGGAAGAATAAACCATGTTGCCAAATGGAAAAGCACATTGTAGATAGTCCTGTCTATTGGTAAATGGGCAGGCATACACATGGACTGGAGCCTCCCTCCTTTCCTTCCTTCCTTCCTTCTATAAGTATTTACCAAACATTCATTCCATTCCTGGCACTCTGTTAGGCACTGGGATATTTTTAAGAATCATTCCATAGGAGTTAGAACACCCCTGTCCATCCAAAGCCATTCCTTCATTCGTGGTAATGTGACTGTAGCCGGATGTGCAGTCATTCTGATTTTCCAGCCTCTACTGCACTTACATGTGCCCATGTGTCTACATTATGCCCAATAAAGAATGACAGGTAACATGTGCCATTTATGACCCAAGCTTTTTAGAAGTAGATATGCTTCCTCTATGCTCTTTCCTCTTTTATCCATTAGGGGCAGTCCCAAATGAGAGGGTGGCAAGGCCCCAAAAGGAAAAGGAAATAGAGTCACATTCTTGAATCTCCATGTGAAGGAGGAGACTCCTTGACCAGGAATGCCTGCCTTAACTGTTACATACTACTTTCTTATTATATCTGTGCTATTACACATCTTGGGGCTTGGGGTGCAGTGGGCTGTTAGCAGTTAAGCTACTCTCACTGATGCAGAAATTGGTATCTCAAAGTGGGGAGCTGCTGTATGAAAAATGTGTATGTGAGAATTGGTTTAGTGATTTAGTACGAGATAGCAAAGAAGTACATATAGCAGGATGAAAAGGTGGAAATTCCTCTTGTCCTGTGGCCAAAATATTTAACAAAACTATTTTCTACGTTGGGGCGCCTGGGTGGCTCAGTGGGTTAAAGCCTCTGCCTTCGGCTCAGGTCATGATCTCAGGGTCCTGGGATCGAGCCCCGCATCGGGCTCTCTGCTCGGCAGGGAGCCTGCTTCCCCCTCTCTCTCTGCCTGCCTCTCTGCCTACTTGTGGATCTCTGTCTGTCAAATAAATAAATAAAATCTTTAAAAGAACAAACAAACTATTTTCTACGTTAACTTAGCAGGTTAACCCAGTATCTATCAGGCCTATAGCTCTAGGGTAGGGGCTAGTAAACTATGACTCCTGGGCTAAATTTTACCTGCTGTCTGTTTTTGTAAATAAAGTTTTATCAGAATACAGTCACCCTCATTCCTTTACCTATGGTCTATGGTTGCTTTTGCACTATAAGAGAAATACTGAGTCATTGTAAGAGAGGTCACATGACCCCCAAATGCTAAAATATTTACTACCCAGACTTTTGGGAAGGACTTTTGTCAACCCCTGGTATCCGGGGGTTGACAGTGACAACGATGGGACCTAGGTGATGATTCAGCTGGACAGTGGAAGGTACCCGGGCTCCTGGATCACTATGTGAGGAGAGCTGCCCCCTAGCCAGGACTTGTACTGTTAAAGAGAAATGAGCTTCTACTGTTTTTGAGCCATTATATGGCTTAGGAATGTATTTGTTTCAGGAGTTTAGTTTCTTTTACCTGTGGCAGATTGATGGGGAAAATGGCTCCAAATCCTCTCTCCTCCCTGGATCTCCTTCTTACAGAACTTCGCAGTGCCTTCCCATTCTGGGTGAGGATTTCTATACCAACCCTTGACTCTTGGTTCAGCCACAAGACTTACGGTGGTCAAGAAGATGTTAACAAATATAATACAAACACATGCTTGGAAAAGCACTTACACATTTTCACTTTCTCCCTCTTGTTCCTCTGATGTTGCCCTGAGAACAAGCCTAGGCTAGCCTGCTGGGGGATGAGACACATGGGCCAGAGCTGAGCTTGCACAGGGGTCTCAGCAAAAGCGCCCAGACACATGACAGAGCCCAACCAAGATCAGCAGAGTCACCCATCCAACATATAAACTCCTAAGAAAAATAGCATGTATTGCTATAGGTCACTGAGATTTTTGTGGTTATTATAACAGGATACTTCATTGGGGGAATAAATACCGGTATACCTACTAATACATACATAAATGTGCTGCTCTTTCTTTGTGTCCATTCTGAGGGTTCTGGTTTTTCAAATGGGCTGAGGTCCTTCTCTTGTGTAAAGCTTTTACAAAATCTTACAAGGCAGCTACCAGTTCCTACTTTACATATAAAGAAAAAGACTCAGGGGCACCTGGGTGGCTCAGCCATTAAGCGTCTGCCTTCGGCTCAGGGCATGATCCCGGGGTCCTGGGATCGAGCCCTGCATCAGGCTCCCTGCTCGGTGGGAAGCCTGCTTCTCAGTTTCTCACTCCTCCTGCTTGTGTTCCCTCTCTCTCTGTGTCTCTCTGTCAAATAAATAAATAATTAAAAAAAAAAAAGACTCAAAAAGATAAAGTGATCTGTCCAAGTGACTCCAACTGAAAAATACCAGAGCTGTGGGTTTAGCTCTGATCTTCACATTCCAAATGCAATGGGTTTGTTTGGGGGTTTTTTGCCTCAAAATCAAAGCAGCCTGTCCAACATCTTCCTCAAGAACATGAACTCTACCAGACCCAGGAGCCAGGCAGGCACACGAACGACGAAGGGGACAGCTCGCATGGTCACCATGCTCAGGGAAGGGCAGAGATTGAGGGAAGTGGAAAGCGTGTGGTTCATCGAAGGGACTGCCACAGTTCAACTCAGGCCAGTTGCCACCACACAGAAACGGGGTCCGGGTGGCCCCAAGGCTTGGTTTTGCAAGAGAAGCCAGAAACCCAAAATGTTACGTAAATTGTCCTATTTTTAAACATTAGGTCTATTTTGGGGCGCCTGGGTGGCTCAGTGGGTTAAGCCGCTGCCTTTGGCTCAGGTCATGATCTCAGAGTCCTGGGATTCAGCCCCGCATTGGGCTCTCTGCTCTCTAGGGGAGCCTGCTTCCTCCTCTCTCTCTCTGCCTGCCTCTCTGCCTGCTTGTGATCTCTCTGTCAAATAAATAAATAAAATCTTTAAAAAAAAATAAAAAAATAAAAAAAAATAAACATTAGGTCTATTTTTAAAAATACAGTGACGGCCAAATAAAATGCATATCCCCTATCGGGCCCAGAAGCCATTAGATCCCGGCTGAAGCCTTGTATTTGCACAACACTCTTTAGCTTAATAAGTAGTTTCATGACTGTTCTGTCATTTCTCCCTTAGAAAGCCACCATAATGACGGGGGAAATAGGTGCTCTTACTGACACTTGTATAGGTGTAGAGACCCAGGCTTAGAGGAAGTAGGTAAATGGCCCAAGTTCACGTGGCCAACTGGTATCAGTCAAGACTAGCATCCCCAGGCCTTCAGGTTCCTATACCATTTTACTCCTTTTTCATATCAAGCACATATGAGGGTTCAGAACATTCTCGCATCCACGGCACTGGGGACAAGTGTCCCTGAAGGTTCCACTATTTCAGGGGGCCCCGGGTCTGGCCAGGTCTGCCAAGCTCTGTGCTGTGGGCAGATCGCAATTTAAATTATGATTATAGTCCTTCCCCCACAGAGTTTACGTTCTCTGATTATTTTCTTCTTTTCCTCTCTAAGTGAACCATATCTACTTATTTCTAAAACTTCTGCCTGCCCGTCAGATGGCCTCAGGCTATACAAACAAAGAAAATTCATAATTAAAGTATTAATAGAGTTTTAAAAGCTAGCAGAAATAATGATAAAAACATGGGCCTCAAATCTATAAATTAAGCACAAAATTACGTTCAGAAACCATTTCCTCCCAGTATCCTATCAAGGCGGCTCAGTGGACTGCAAAGACGTTATAACGCGCAGCAAAGCGTCTGAGAAATAAATGGCCCACGTCAAAACAAGCGTGTAATTTCTGCACAGGAAGCAGGACTGTTTTTACTTACTCACTTACTCTTTAACCATTTTAGCAAATTTATATTTGAATAAGGAGAGGCAGGGAGAGCGTGGGAGGCAGGGACGATGAATAGATGTTTTTTTCACGGGTCCCTGCCAGCCAGCAGTGGCCCCAAAGGCTTTAGAAGGTCAAAACCTTCCTAAATTCATTTGTCACCATTCTGAGGGCTCTAGATTTTCAAATGGGCTTCAAGGCTGAAGAGGAGTTTACAGTAAGCACAGGGGGGTGACAGTGGGGACATGCAAGGCCACCCCTCCGTGCCAAGCAGGGATCCCTCTTCAGGAGCAAGACCATTCACAGGCAGTCCTGTTTCCATGAATGCTCATGAGATGGGAGATATGTCAGCTTCTAGACTGACAGCAAACCACAGATTACCCACACAAGGAAACACAACTGAGTTCATGCTGAGCATAAAACACGCTTAAAGAAACTCCCCTTGTTGAAATTTCAGTCTTCTTTCTTATTATTTTGACATTAAACATATATTTGCTTTGGACTCACTATAGGGGGAAAAAAACAAAACCTCAAGGTCTGTGTATAGGACCAAAATAAATAAAAATGACTCGCTCACAAAATTGTTTTCGTTCTGCCACATAAGCAAAGTGACCACTTGATAAGCAAGAATTGCACACAAGTCCTTAGACAATTATCACCAATACAAGCTCTGTGAGTTATTACTGATTGTTTCTTTTTTTTTTTTTTTCTAAGCAACTCGGCAAAAATAATAGTCTAGAAACATCAGAGTGACAGAACTGAGTTCTGAGGAGACAGGACGACTAGATAAGTGGTTTGAAGAAAAAGACTATGGATGTGGATTCTCTACCATTAAAATCCCAGAGTGTTCTGCTTTAGAATTAGAGTTTCTAGAAAGATCTCTTTGGCAGAGCTTTAACATCCCATCAAAGCTGTAGCCAGGGTGAGTCTCCCATTTGAAGCAGGTTAATGTTTCCTAACTGGCTGAACTCTTATAGCCTTTAGACCAGATACTTGCAGGCACTTGCTTCCAAGGAGTTTGGAAGTTACCCGCAAGGGCACTTGGCTGAGACAGGCAGACACCTCAAGTCCCGGCTGGCTGAACACCCAGATGATGTGGAATGGGGAGACTGGAAGGTCAGGCTCCTCCCTCCACAAGCGGGTTTGGCACCGGTTAAATCCATTATTTCCCCCCTTGGAAGGAACAGGCTTGTCAAACGCAGAAAGGATGGAGCTTCCCCCACATTCCACAATTGCTGTCCTAGATATTTTTAGCATCGGACAAATACTGGTATTTAGGATTGCAACAAAGGGCTTTCTCGGCTAAAAAAAATATATATGCCAAATATACTTTTCCATAGAGACAACCACTTCTAGACCCCATCGTTAATATTCTCTCTAATAAAGACTAGTAGGGCTTCACATGTGAGTCTGATTAGATCCTTCCTAAGTTATATGCAATCAGAGCATTAAAAGGACACTGTCTTTTTAATGTCAAGTAGACCGAATCTTTGGTGGCATCATTTGGACACTGAGCAGTTAGTTGCCTCCTCCAAAAGCACCTTCTTTTCACCACAGATCCTTCTGTAATTATTCCCTCCTCACACACGAGTCGAAGCCCACTCTGTGACAGCCGCCATGCCAGGCCTGGGCGTGTGACAGTGACCACCGTGCTGTCTCGACCCCAAATAGATACTACAGCTGCATGCAGGAGAATCTTGGGCATCCTGCTTTTTCACATCCCAGGGAAAGTTGCCTTCTACCTTCATCTGAGGTGAGACTATTCCTCAGTATCCTACTTCTCGGTTTTGTCAAAAATTTCTGATGAAAAAAGATATGTGTGCTCACTGAAAAAACTGAGAAATATAGACATGGCTGAAGGAAAACATAAAATCTTATGTAATCCTCAGAACTTTTTCAGTGGGTGCGTGTGTGTTTGCCTGCATTTATATACACTATACTATTTGGTGAAGTTTGCCCAAAAAGGAGAAAGCGAGAAACAGAGTGGCTGAACTAGAGAATCGTAGGTATGTGAGGGAGAGAGGGAGAGAGAGGACAAGTTGGCATTTTCCCTAAAATCAATCTAAGTCTCCTTTGCTCCAGGATCCATCCGTCTCGGGGTCCTGGGCAAGCCAATTAACGATCCAAGAGCCTCTATCCTACTTGTCTTTCCAAGCACACTGTATCTATAAACTAACCCTCAGTAACATGTGCACAAGCCCAAGGCCACTGGAAAGTTATGCTGGGCCTATAAATAGTAAAAAGTACCACTGCTTCCTGAATGGTTTAAAAAAAAAAAAACATTTATTTAAAAAAATGTAAAGGAATTATGAGTTTAGCAGTGTAAATAAAGAGAGTCGGGGAAATAGTAATAATTTCTATCACAAATTTTTGACTACACATTTTTCAGTATCTGATTAACTTGTTACATCACCTCCTGTTTTGACATTAAAAGCGTTTCTTTGGCCAAAAGGCAGGGAAAAGTACCTCGTCACAAACCAACCAAAGATTCTGGCTGACTCCAAGGTCATCTCTGAAGAAAAGCAGATTGATGGCATTCAAATGTTCTAGAATAAATGTTTTTTAGTTAAAAATACAGTCAAGCCATGTGTCAGAACTAAGAGCCCAAAATACATCATCTTTTCAGGGAAAAAAAATTCTTATGATACAAAAAATATCCTATGCAAACTAAATTCATTTCTTACTCATTAGTGAGGGTTTTGATGTCACATGGAGAATGACTGTTTTCCTTCTGGTTAGAAAAGGAGAACAAGGTCTCTGACAACCCTCACTGAGCGGTCCCCACCTTCCTGGATAACCTCCCAGAAAGCATTCTTCGTGTTTCCAGGGTTTGACGACACAAGAAGTTATTCCCAAAGGAGAAGTAGCTGCCTTGATGATCTGGGGATGGGCTGGGGCGGTGGGGACAAGAACACAGAGCATTCCCTTCTGTGGGAGAAGGAGCACCTGCTTGGGTGCTCAGCAAACTGCCCTGATTGTTCCCGACAAGGGCCAGCGGCGCCCCTGGCTCTCACAGACCCCACTGCCTCAGAAGAAACCGTGCTTGCTCAATTCGCTTCTGCCTCATCACAAGAATGGAGGTGGGGCCGATGACCAACTTTTCTGTTAAACATTACTCAAGAGGAACACAGGGAGCTCTTGAGATGTCTGTGATCATGGGGCAGGCTCTGCAGTCACTTAAAAATCATAAAACTCTACAAAAAGGCTGTATGTCTGTTGGTGGGCTCTGTGAGCATTAAAACATGGCCCTGGGAAGACAGGCGATTTTCTGTGAATGCTTCCTGACTACCAGCCCTCCAGTCTCGCTGTCTCCCCGTGTCTGCAGATAGGCTGCCTGGAGGGTGCTCGCACCCTGGCTCAAGGCCCGCCAAAGGGCCCATATCAATTCAGGAACAGGGATTGTGATGAGGGGAGGGAAAGCCACCTGCTTCTCTGCTGTTGCTCCCCACTCCTGAATCTTGTCATCTCACCCTCCTCTCCCGATAACACAGCGTGGTCTTCCATCAGCCACCTGTCCCTCTGCCCTGCAGATGCCGACCCTGGGAGATGGGGAAGAAGGAAGGGCAGAGAAGGAGACAAGGCCTCCTTCCTCCCACCACTTACTGGTGCTTGCAACCCTGAAGCCCTCCCAAAATATGGAGAGATTGATTGCAAACTAAAATGTGGGGACTGTAGAGGAAAAAAAAAACAGGTAGATTATTTCCTCTCGGCCCCAGGAAAGAGCAAGAAGTTCTGAGCAATTCAGCAACCCGTCTGCTTCCAACATTCCCACTCATCAAGGACGAGTCTGTGGCCTCCGTCTGCACAGACACCCCAACTCGCATGGCTCCTCAGGGCTCGTCTGCAAAGGGAAGGTCTCACACAGCCTGAGGAAGGGAAGGCTGGAAAGCAGGACCCCTCACAGGGGGAGCAGGGGACATGCAGAGCACAGCAAATGTTGTTTCACCAAAGGATCTAATTAGAAGGCAGGCAAAAATTTCCTATTTACTATACAAACATAGATGCACTAAAATTCACAGCTGTTGCTTAACACACTTCTGACAAGAACATGTCAAACAAACATATGTGGAGGGGTGCACAATGAGTGGTTTTCAATCGTATCTTAAATCAAATTTACTTAAACCCCGCTCATTTTAATTCTTTTTATGCTGCGCCTAACAGAATCATCATCACATGATTAGCAGATCTGCTATATATAGAAGATATTCTATATATTCTCTCTCTCTCTCTCTATATATATATATATAAATTTTTCTTCAGGATGAAAGGATTCTTCTTCAGGATATAGGTATATAAATATATTACATACATACATACATACATACGTGTGTGTGTGTGTGTGTGTGTGTGTATGCTCTTCTTCAGGATGAAGACAAAAACACATGCCAGAAAGATCACGCCCCACTTAGGCTCATCAACCAGACCTACAGTCCAGTTCTCCAAGTGGAGAAGACATGGCTTTGGGGATTCTTTCTCTTACCCTGTTTTGTTTCCCTTGGGGCTTTCCCTGCTCACCTCCGATGCTGCTGCTGCAATAAAGAAGAAGAAACGCAGAATGCGGACAGCCATCCGACACCTGCAGCCCCAGCCTGCACCAGCCCTCAGTGGCCACCGGGGACAGCGGTGGCGGGGGTGCGGAGGACAGCCATCACTGTCACTCAGCTCCAGGCCAGAGGAGGAAGGGCCTTACCTGCCATTGTTCACCTCGAACACAGGTGAGACTAACCCCGAGGAAGTCCGGCTCCCAAGATAAAGGACTAAGAGGGATGAATAATTAATAATTCACTGGAACTTGAAGCGGATGGTAAGTGTGAGGCCAGGGTGAGTAAAAGAAAGAAACACTAAACGAAAAGGCCAAGTTTTGTTTGTAAGGAAGCTCAGACGGGGGATGTTCATGCGGAACTGCTGGGAACTGGAGCCTCTTTTTCCAAACCCCTATTTTTGCACCGAGAGAAATCAGCCTTGGTTTCCCAAAAAACCCCAAGGAGAGACTTGCTGTTTAAGGAAAATGCCCTCTTTGGAGCCAGTCACACTGGTTTCTGCCCTGGCCCCATACGCAAGTGGACTGTGAGGGGTCCCTCCCGCTCCTCATGTTTCGGGAATTCCCATCCCTTGGAAACTTCCTTTTCATCTTCAAAACAGTTTACCATTGCAAGCACAACAACTCAACTAAGCCATTCGCTGATTCTTTCAACCATGCACCCTTCATTCAAGTCTCTCTCTGTGCCAGGATCTGTGCTGAGACACTGGCATCAAGAAAAAAAAAAAGACCAAATTTTCTCCAAACAGGCTTTACTTTTTTTTTTTTTTTTTTTTTTTTTTTTTTTGCCAATTTCATTCACAGCTATACCTGAGCACTTAGTTATTTTTTTTAAGATTTTAGTTATTTATTTGACAGACAGAGATCCCAAGTAGGCAGAGAGGCAGGCAGAGAGAGAGGTGGAAGCAGGCTGAGCAGAGAGCCCAACGCAGGGCTCGATCCCAGGACCCTGGGATCATGACCAGAGCCAAAGGCAGAGGCTTAGCCCACTGAGCCACCCAGGTGCCCCTATACCTGAGGTGCTTAGAATAGTGCCTGGTACCTAGAGGCACTCAGTAATTATACTTTAAAATGCAGCTTATACAATTGAAATTGCACAAAAGAGAAAATATCGAAGTTCTTCTGTTAATAGGGGCCAATCCTAGAGAAGCACTAAAAACAGCATGTACGTCATAAATGAAAACATATACAAATCTCATTTTAGTGCATCTTAATCACCTTCTACTGGTGATATCTAATGATACCAGCAGAAGCAGAATTGTCACCAGTGGAGTAAAATAGTTTGAAACTTTTCTCAAATATAAAAAATTTAAAAACCAATTCTGATTAGCCATGATAGAGGAAAGATTGAATTCTTTCTATTCTAGCTGTAAAATATAATGTTACAAAATCTTTGCCATCTAGAAAGGCAATTAAAGAGTATTCACCAAAAATTTCTAGGGAAAAAAAAAGGACTTTAGAGATATGCCAGAAGGTTAATTAATGAAAATCTGTTATTTTCTGGATTATTTTATGTTTACAGCATCTGTCAGCTTTTTAATGACTTTTTAAACTACTTTAGTGAGACATAATTGCTGTAGAATAAACGACACATATTTAGACAACACAATTTGATAAGTTCTGACATTTCTATAAAGCCATAAAGCCATAAAATTATCACCCTCAAGATAGTGAATCATATCACAATTAAGATAGTGATATGGGACCCTTTATTACC